TTTGGCCTAGATTTGTAGCGTTTTCTTCCTCCCGGTGACTTTCAATGTTGACCCACACCTAAAGAAAGCCTGTTACGTGATACCCACCCTTGGACGTAGCCGATTTGTGATACCCACCCTCTTCGGAATCTGTTCAACGCTTCCTCACACCTTGTCTGCATTAGATTTACAAGCTCCAAAGCGTTCGCCGTCGTTCAGCAAGGTTCTGTGGCTAACGGCCTCCTTGAACACCTTTTTAGATTCAATTTTAGTAGCCGAAACTAAGTTGTAACATCATGTATTTTCTTTATCTGCCTAGGTTTCGAACCAACGCAAAAGCTAGAAGCTTGTAGGCGCGTGTAAGTAGCACCAAGGGGCGGTGTGTGCCTTAATGGGTGTTATTAAGATGGTTTCGTGCTTCACTTTGCTATACTTGTGTATCTCATGTATTTAGAATTTGTTGGGCATCGTTTTAGGACTTCTAGTTGTTACCGTTTGGTTGCATTCTTGCTGTTTCTTTTGTTCTTTTCCTTTTATATCTTAGGAAAATGTTTTGTATCATGATTATTGGATACGACTTGAAAGTTGCTGCTTGGTATGGTTGGAAGTGATTAAGCTGTGATGGTTGAAAGCATGTTTTGTGATTGAAAATGCACGTGATAGTTTAATGTTATTTAGTTTATGTTTGTTTAGGTGGAAGCTACTCGATTATTTTATTTGTTATGTACGATGAAGAGCATGATGGATAATTGTGTTGTGATTAGATGTGTGAATGACTTGTCGATGCCTTTGAAGGATTGGTTGGGGTGGTCTGAAGAGATGGAACGGACTAGTGGTAGTGGCTTGTTATCCTGTGATTTATCTATACTGATAACGTAACTAGTCGTTTGGTTTTTCGTGGTCAATATTGTGGGTGACTTGGGAATGATGTGATTCAAATCTTAGTAGAGGACTATGATTGGAATTTGTGCAATTGGAATTTGTGGTCTATTGCGTAATGAAAAGTGGGTAGACAAGTTTCATGGCCTCTGGACAAATGGTCGGGGTTGTTACGTCACTATGGGTATCGAGGCTCCTAGTGCAAAAGGCTGGGCGTCGATAGGCCAGTCTTTTTAGAGATGAGTGTCAAGACTTCGAGTACAAAAGGTCGGGGGTCGGCATGATGAGTCTATTTGACAATCAGTATTGGGTCTTAATGTGGTGGTGGTCAATGACCAATACGCTGAGTAGTCGTCGAGACCTTGGGGATAAATGTCAAGGGTCGGTGCACAATTCAAGCCCTTAGGGATAAATGGCAGGGTCGAACAGCAAGCTGCCGCAGAGGAGTGTCGGGACCTT